TTTGACTCAAGGAATCAAATTACTACCCTAAGGCCTTGTTTACACTACAGAGTTTTTTGTCAACAAAAGTTAAGCTGACAATCAAAAACTGATATATTTACATCGCTCATGCATGTTCACACTATGCTCTGTCTGTTGACTGAGCATGTCCATACTTTGGTGCACTAGCATTGACAGTGAGAGCAGTGCACTCTGGGTACTTATCCAACTATGCTACATGCCACCTTCAGCTAGGAGTTGTGGGAAGGCAGAGTGGATCGCAGTGTATCATGGGTGTGGGCTCAGTGCCCCATGATGCAGTTCTTTCTGTTCCAGCATTCCGTGGGCTTTCGACGGCATTTTGTGGCATTTTTCAACGGCCCCTTTTTACTGTGTGCCCGCCATCTCTGTCTGAAAGGCTGGATCTTGCACTGTTCTCTACTGTGGTGGTTGCTGTTATGAACGCATCACGGATGATCATGCAGTATATCACGAGCGCCAAATCTTAACAGGAATCAGAGTTGCCTGACCTACTGCGTGCCATGGAAAGAAACAACACCAGATTACTTTTGTTATTCACGGAAAAGCTGAACATAGTGGACCGTTGCTTTTGGGCTCAGGAAACAAGCACTGAGTGGTGGGATCGCATTGTGATGCAGGTCTGGGATGATGAGCAGTGACTGCAGAACTTTCAGATGAGTGGAGCCTGCCCCAGCAGCACAAGGACACCAAAATGAGAGCTCTCCTCTTGGTGGAGAAGCATGTGATGATCGCTGTGTTGAAACTGGACTTTTACCAGTTGGTCACAAATCAGTTTGGAGTCAGAAAGGTGACTGCTGGGGCTACGTTAATGCAGCGTGCAGGGCCATTAATCGCATCCTGCTACAATGGACTGTCTCTCTTGGAAATGTGTGTGAAATAGTGGATGGTTTTGCAGCAATGGGATTCCCTCACTGCAGAGGGGCAATAGATGGCACACATATCCCAATTCTGGCCCCAGCCCATCTTGTGACTGAGTACATCGATAGAAAGAGGTACTTCTCTATGGTATTGCAGGCACTTGTGGATCACCATGGGCCTTTCACTGACATCACCGTGGGGTGGTCAGGGAAGGTGCATGATGCATGCATTTTCAGGAACACCATCTGTACAGAAAGCTTCAAGCAGGGACTTTCTTTTCAGACCAGAAGATTCCCGTGAGGGATTCTAAAATGCCCATAATGATCCTGGGAGACCCAGCATACCCCTTACTCCTATGACTCATGAAACCTGACACGGGAAACCTGGACAGCAGCAAGGAGCACTTCAACAAAAGGCTGAGCAGGTGCAGAATGACCATGGACTGTGCCTTTGGCAGATTAAAAGTGTGCTGGCACTGCCTGTATGGCAGGTTAGACCTAAATGAGGAAAACCTTCCCATGGCCATAATATTTGTAAGGCTCAGGGTGAAAAGTTTTTCCCCTGGGGTGGAGCGTGGAAGCTGATCACCTGGCGGCTGAATTTGAGCAGTCAGGTACCAGAGCTATTAGAGGGGCATAACGGGGGGCTATTTGAATCAGAAAGGCTTTGAGGCAACACTGTGACAATGATTACCAGAAAGACACATTACTGTACAGCACTCCGCCATGCTTCTCTTGCCGCCTTGCATGAGAATCCTGACTATTCCTGACCAGGATTTGTAGGCAGCAAGTGATCAAATTGCCACTATGTGTTACTACCAGCAGCAACCACCCTGTGTAGGAGACAAAGTTTTATTATATACCAATTAACACACATACAAAAGGCTTGGTGGGAAGGGAAATGACAGTGTAGGGCAGCGTATGCTGTCAGAGCTGTCTGTATGTCCAGCTATCATTTTGGAAGTTCTACAAAGGGGTGGAGTAAACAGGGTACTGAGACATTCTGGGAAGTTGCAAAGAATGTATGGGAGGAGTTTGGGGGGGGCATGGAAAGCAGTTCTGTATAGGCTGCAGGGGGGAGCGAGCATGCGTGTATTCTGCCTGGAGCGTGAATTGGGACTTCAACATCTCTGTTCACACCTCCATCACCTTTATCATCCGCTCCTGGCCCTCTAAAATGTGCTCCTCACTCGCCTTTCTGTCCTGCCTTTCTATTCTACACTTTTGCTTCAGGGTCTCTCTCCATTCCCTGTGTTCTCTTTTTTTAGGCCTCTGAGGATTGGAGTGCCTCTCGGAACATGTCCTTCTTGCTCTGCCTTGGCTGCTTGCTTATCTGGTAGAGGCACCCCACCATTGTGTAGGGGGTTCCCCTGAAGGCCACATCTGCAGAAACACAAGAAACAGTAACAGAAGTATGCTAATTAGTTCACACAGAGCGTTGAATTATTACGGTAAAATACATCTTTTAATGTATTAATCACTTTCTCCCTGTCCTTTAGCAAGGGCATATTGTGGCGAACACACTAAATATGGTGAATTCAGCCCAGGTGGGGATTGGCTGTTCAAGATGGGGCAAAGGGTCTAGGTGTGTGTGTTTTTTTTTTTTAAGGGTATCAGTGCAGGTGACTAAGAACAATATTGTAAAATCTGTCACCAATTTCCATGCAGGGGTCAATCCTCTCACTCCTGAGGGTAATTAAGGATGTAAGGGTGCATCTGCTGCATGCATGTGGCTTCAGACCGGGTCCCTATGCTGCTTGCCTGTGTGCTGCTTTGGTCCCTGCACAAGTCATGGCTGATTGGCACAGGAAAGTTTCCTGCAACAGAGGAAGAAACAAGCAGCTCTGCCAAAGCACCTTCAGCAGAAGATTGGTAAGTAGCTCCAGGAAAATTTCCTTCAGATCTCTCTGGAGGATTCCTGTGAAATCTCCGTGTGCATTAACACACTGTTCTGCCGCACTGCTTTGCTACACAGGGGAATATGGAGCACACTCAAACACAGCTAGTCTTGTACATTTCTATCCCTTCATCCACTTCTAGAATACACAGAGCAAAGGACAACTACACTGCATATGAGTTAACCGAGCAGCATCAACTCAAAAAGATCAGGGCTCTCCTCTGTTGTATCATGCCCACCAGAGACTGACTGCTGGGACTGGCTAGACCCCTCCACAGTGGAAAACAGGTCCTGACTTCCTGTGCTGCCAGACAACCCTGCCGTGTGCTCTGCATCATCCTCCAGCTTGACGACCTCATCCACAATTTCGTTAGGGCCACTGTCCGCTGCCTCCAGCCCCGATGAAGTATCCACAGGGTTCTTGGCAGTGGAGGTGGGGTCTCTGCTGAGGATGGCTCCTTATAAAAGCGGCAGCTCTTCATCATAGTACCAGAGTGAAGGTTTGCATCCCTTGCCTTCTGGTATGCCTTCCTCAGCTCCTTTATCTTCACACTGTGCTGCTACGTGACTCGTTTGTAAACCCTTATCACACAAGCCATGAGAAATCTGCCTGTAGAAATCTAAGTTCCTACAGCTGGAGCGGAGCTGGGACTGCACATACACTCCCCATACACTCAGCAGATCCACCGGGTCCTGTGTACTCTAAGCAGGAGAGCATTTGCTGCGTGGAACTGCCATGGGCAGCTGGAAAGATGTGATGTGAGTGGTTCACGCCAAGCAAACAGGAAGTGAAATTTTCAAAATTTCCTGGACCTTTAAAGGGGGAGGGGCAGAAGCTTGTGTACCTGTGAGCAGGGCAGTAGAGTTTGAACTGCTGACCCAGGGCGATCAGGATGGGCATTGTGGGACACCTCCTGGAGGCCATTTACAGTGACATAATCAAGCTTGGTGTCTACACTGACACTTTGTTGATATAACTGTTGCAAAAGCTCTGCGTCTCTTGATGAGGTGGTTTGATTTTGTCAGCAGAGTAGGAGAGTTTTGTCAGCATAAGTGCCATTGAAGTGTGTACACCTCCAGTTTTGTTAGCAAAAACCTGACTTTTCTCGACAAACCTGTATAGTGTAGACAAGACCTAAAACTTTTAATGTAAGATTCAGAGGGGCAGTTATCCCCTAGAGAGCAAAATCTGATGGATTTTTCCAATGGTTTTGGATTAGTCATATCTGTTTTTTACATGGCATCAAACATTTTAATCACTAAAAAGAAGCTGACAAAGCTACCTTAATTCTATACATATATTTCAATAAGGTTTGGCCTTGAAAGGGATTAATCACTTCCACTAACGCATCATCGTAGATGGTAAAGCCTACAAAAATAAAAGGAGTACTTGTGGCACCTTAGAGACTAGCCAATTTATTTGAGCATAAGCTTTCGTGAGCTACAGCTCACTTCATCAGAGCTGTAGCTCACGAAAGCTTATGCTCAAATTGGCTAGTTTCTAAGGTGCCACAAGTACTCCTTTTATTTTTGCGAATACAGACTAACACGGCTGCTACTCTAAAGCCTACAAAGGAATTCATTTATCCACTTCTATACTCTTTCACTTGTTTCCTCTAGGTAGCTATTAATCATCTTCCCACTTTCAAAACCAACATGAAAAATGTATAAATTTGGGCAAAGGTGGAACAGATAGGAGGTGATGAGCATGGCACATTTCTTGACTGGCCTTTAAGGGGGGAGAATAACTTTTTTTCCCTCTTTACCGCGGCAATTGGCAACTTACATGGCAACAGGCAATCTGCCCTATTTCCCTTCTCGGAATGTTGTCCTAGCATACCACAGAACATTGTCTGTTTGATCTGACAGGGAAGTATTTCAATTTTCACCATTTTGGGAATTATCTTTGCATAGTTTTACTGACATCTTCCACTTTGTGTTCTTTCCCTAGCGCAGCAAACTCAGTTTTCACCTTTTTTTAAATGCCAGAAGCGATGCTTTTTTGCTTGCTCTGGATCACTGCCTTTGTACGCCCTGACAACACACACATTCTCTCTTATTCAGCCAAGACAATATTGTTAATTTATTATTTTATCTCCTATTTAAAGAGGCAATTGCTGGTTCAATACTGAATGTGGCCCCCCTCCCTAAACCCCCCCTTCTGATCCTGAGGGCCATACCTCTACTCTTTCCATTTGAAAAATAACAGACTATCCAGGCCTGACTGTACATAGAAGATTTTAATAATGAATCACACGAAAAACTCAGGTTATACAACTGAAAACTGAGTAATGACACCTTACATTCAACTTTGGATAATCTCACATTTTCCAGAAATGAAACAGACCCTAGCATCTTGTTGGTTTAGCTCTTATACTTTGATCAGTGAAATCTATGTATGAAGTAGTCACACACTTACAATCCATTTTTAATACTGCTTTAAAAACTAAGACACAGTGCAGCATTTTCCCATTAATTCAGATTTTAGAGAAACAAACATGGCACAAGCAGAACATTCATTGACAAATGTACAGGTTTGGCTGTAGACAGTCTGTAGACCCAAATAGAAAAAACAGTGAAGAACTGTCAGCATATTACATTCTATCCTTTGATTGTTGAAGTTATAACACCATAAGAAGGGGGGAAATGTTGCTACGCAATACTTGAGAACAATTCAAAACCACCCCTGGGGTTGGAAATGAGGGAGTTATGCAAATCTTGGGTGTTCCCAGAAACCAAGTTTGAATATACTATAATCACCTCCCCTAGGCAGTGAGTGGAATGTTTGAACTAATATTCCCTGATGCTGACATTTTCACTCTGTACTGCTCTCTTACAGAAAGATTTGGAACAAATCAACAGGTGTCTAACCTCCACAGCTCCCTATCCTATAAGCCCAGAAGGCCCTAAACTCAGCAGAACTGATGTGATACAGCTCATAGGAGACAGGACACAGGGGGGCTACTCAAAGGGACTTTGCACTCCTTATGTGCCATGGAGACTTTTCTATTATGCGTCTCTTTGCAGTAGTGCATGCGTGCACATCTAGGCTGTGGCAAGAGAGGAGCTAATGGAGCCATATGTCACGGCACCTTCACCTAGAGAGGATGTAGAGCCCTAGTTGCTAGTACTATAAAAGCCCCTTAGTTGTGAAGGGAGGTTTCACCTGACCCCTCTCTGATCCTCTGTCCAAGCTTCATTTATGTATGCTTTGTATGCATGGCAGGAGAGCAGTGAACAACATTTGGGTCTTAATGAGGTGCTGAAAGAACCTTCATAGCTGAGCTCAAAATGAGATTGCTGGTGGTTGCATTCAATTATTGAAGGGTTAAACCTTGCTTCAGAAGTTCAGTAATATATCAGGATGCCAATGCAGTCTTAATTGATCAAAGGTCAATATTATCAAGGATTAATGCCTACCAAGTGCTTAGAAGATGAGCAGCATGAACTATTAATTTTAATTGTTATTAAGAGCCCATTTATAACAACCTAACTCAAGTGGAGTAGTACCTTACTCTGAGAGCAAGCCTAGCTTGTGAAGTAAGGTACCCCTCAAGTTGAGTAAAAGTTCTCCCACCATTCTATCAGTCGGAAAAGGAAGACCTCTGTGCTCGAACTGAGATTTTAAATGTTCGTATTGTTCACCAACCCAGCAGCACGGGCTTTGGCGATTTTTTTTTTTTTTTTTACTTCAAAAACCTGTGTAGCAAAAAATAAAATAAACCCAAGAAACAAAGACAAACAAAACCACACACAGGCTGCACACAAGAGCTATGCAGTTTCAAGTACTTTCTTTAAGGAAACATACTGGTGTAGTTTTTCCCCCTAAAGATCTGATTAGTCCTAAAAGATTCTCCATTGGCATAATCCTGATTCATTACACTTTTCTTTAGCAGCAGAACAGTCTGATTGTCCATGATATTACCCAAATTATACATTGGAGTAACTCCACTGACATCAGTAGCTACCCAATGTAAAATCTGGTATGGAGAACGAGAGCATTCTTTCCTATTACCCAGCAATGAAGTTGCTCCGTTGGGTAATTAAGTTCTAGTAATGGTTAATATGGGCAGTATGTACAAAAATATACAAATCACAGTATATCGCATTTAGAGAAACAAGGTGGGTGAGGTAATATCTTTTATTGAATCAACTTCTACTGGTGAGACACAAGTTTTTGAGTTTACACAGAGCTCTTCTTCAAGTCTGGGAAATGTGCTCAGTGTATCACAGCTGAATACAATCAAAATGAAGCAGCCAGTTAACATGTCTTCAGTCATGGGCAGGGGGGAGGAAGGAGAAGGAACGGAGGAGGGACTATAGATTATTGCTCCCCTCCCCCTTCTTTCCTTCCCCTATACCTGGATAGGTGGTAACTGGCCACCTCACCTTGAATAGTCCCTTGAAATATGTGTTAACTACTTATGCTAAACAATCTGTTCCACCTTGTATTTAGCAGTGACAGTGGGTATGTCTACATTGCAATCAGACAGCTGTGGCTGGTGTGTGCCACCTGACTCTGGCTCTCGGGGCTTGGACTAAGAGGCTGTTTAACTGCGGTGTAGATGTTTGAGCTCAGATTGCAGTCCAAGCTCTGGGACCCTCTCACCTCACAGGGCCCTAGAGACCAGGATCCAGCCTGAGCCCAACGTCTACACTGCAATTAACCAGCCCCATAGCCTGAGCCCAAGTCAGCTACCATGGACCAACTGCAGTACCCTCTGAGTACATTTCCCAGACCTGAAGACAAACTCTATGTAAACTGGAAAGGTCATCTCTCTCTCCCTGCAACAGACGTTGGTCTAATAAAAGCCATTACCTCACTCACCTTGTCTCTCTCATACCCTGGATCCAAAATGGTTACTACAACAACAGCATACAGCATAGATTATTTGGCAACAACAACTTATTTTAGGGTATGATTTAAAAACATATTAGGTTAAAACCAAAAAATCCTCACCGAGGCAAACATCTGAGAACAACTTTTTAAAAATAAAATATACGTGTCAAATTTACAATTTTAGTATTGTGCAAAATAGCTCATAGAGAAACATGGCTCACCCTAAGAGATTGTACATGCTCACTGAGGACTTATCCCCAAAGACTGCTAATTATGGGATTTATTATTTTATTTAGAAAGTGCTTATCCCTATAGTATATAAGCACCTAAGGAATTAAAGGAAAATAATTGAAAAATATTAAAAAGTGAGCCATAACTTGCCTAAAAAACACTAAGAATCAGGAAGAGTCAACGTCACAAACCAGAAACCCCTGCTATTTTCCTATCATGAAATTAAATGGACATTGGGTAACATTTTTAAAAGCACCTAAAAGACTTAGGAGCCTAAGCCCCATTTTCAAAACTAACTTAGGCACTTCAGAGCATTAGTCCCATAGGCCTTCAGTGAGACTTTGGCTCCTAAATCACTTTTGAAAATAGGACTTGTGCTTTTAAAAAATGTTACTGTTGTTATAGTCTGGGCAGCTCAATGTTTGATTATTTTTTCTTCTCCTGTACCTATCTCCCCAGAGCCCACTATTCAGAATATGTGGAGTTTTTGTTTTCAGAACAAATGCTTCACTGTTATTTGCTTTAAACAACAGAAACACAGTGCCACCAATCTAGCGCTCTTGCTAGTATTTGTGGGATGGAGGGAGGAAGCACGTCAGTAATTATGGAAACAAATTGCAGTTTGTCTTCTGGAGACAGTGGGAGCGAGAGAGGTTCTTATGAGGAAAGCAGCTAAAATTAAAAATGAAGATGGAAAAAATTACCACGATAGTGTCCCTTTCATTTTGAAGTGCAATTTTAAAAGCCTATTGGGAAAAGTTGAGAAATAAAACTTACCTCTCCTTCTCTTCGCATCCACTGACTCACACCCAATCTCTGCCACTAGCATATAGGTCCACCCATGCAAGCTGGCATGTGGCATGTTGATCAGCCAGTCCTTGCTCAGGATCCCTCCACCCAGTTCCCACTGCCAATCCAGTTTCCCTCTCCTAGTCCTGATCCCCTCCCCCTCCATTCACCGGATGATCCACTCCACACGTTTCCTGGAAACTCTGGGTCGTGTTCCCACCAGATATCACTGTACCTCATCTCAACTTCCCAGCTGCCACTGATTTACTTTATGCCCATATTCTCCTGGATTAAAAAACAAAAACAAAACAACCCTCCCGCCCCCAACATACACAGGGGTATTAATAACACAAATGCTGAACTGTTAGAATGATCACATGCTTTCCAAACCAGCAGGGCATATGGGTATTTTTTTTCCATAAAAAGAACACTGAATGCTTAGATTATTCTGTTTTTAGTTTCACCATTCTCCAGTGTAGAAGAGAAGTTATGTTCTTGTTCTTCACTTGATTTCATTTCTGATGAAAACTGGCTCATCTCCCGCCCTTCTAAAGTCACTTTATTCCTTTTGGCAAATGCCTGGCTGATTTCATTAATGGTCTTATTTTTTGTTTCGGGCAGGACAAAAAACAGATAAGTAGCTCCAGCAAGGCAGATGACAGCAAACACCAGGAAACAAAATGTCTGCAGTCCAGCCTGTGAACAGAAAACAAATGAAACCAACATTACAGATACTAGAGAGGCAAGAATCTTATGATTAGAAGTAATTCTTGGGAATTGTTTGAAAGAAAGTACATTAAACATACAGAACAGCAGCCTGGGTGAATTGCATTTATTTTGAGAGACCTGGAGCAATTTTTTGTACAATAGTACAAAGTACAATAGTAGGCTGCATTAATTGCAAGCCAGCAGAGCAAGTCATTACCAGTTTAAACATGCTAATTTTTCAGTTACTTCATGAGGAAGGGAGGGTACAAAGAGCTTCCTCCAACCTTCTCCAGGACCCTTACTTAAGGGCCAGATCAGGAGCTCAGAGGAGCACAGGATTGCAATCAAGGTGCTCCTGAGTCATGTTGCACTCCAAAGCAGGTGATGGAGGAGTCACTCACATGACTTCAATGGGACCTGAGGCTGCTCACCACTTCTGAAAATCAGGCCAGTTACTTAGGTGCCTAAATATGGATTTCAACATCTAGGTTTGAAAATGCTGGCCAATATTTTTAGTAGCACCCCTTTATACTTAGGTTAGCACAATATTAAGAATCTGTCACAGCCTTCAGGGAGCTGAATGAAAGTTTTGAGATTATAAAGCCAAACACAGATTTTTTTCCCCCCCGTTTCTAAAGTTATAGGTATATATTATATAGGAAAAGATGTTACAATAAGAGCTACCTTTCTCAAGAAAAGAGAGAGCATTGCAAGGATTAACTAAGATCAGTGATATGAAATACAATCCAAGTTTACATGCTTCAGATTTTACTGCTGCAAATGCTCTACTGTACAAAAAGTGATAACTAACTTCAATAATTTATCATGAAAACTCTAGCTAGATTGTAGGACTTGCATATTATCAAAATGACAGTGTTTCTATCCTGCTGGTTGTTAAATGACCCTTGTTAGACTACCCAAGTTTTTATAAAACAATTTTTCAAAATGTTCTGTAGTATTCGAGACACAATATTGCAAGGTACAGTTTCTTTAAACTGGGAATGCAGACTGACATTCTGCCCCCACTGAAGTCAATGGCAAAACTGTCATTGACTTCAATGGAGCCAGGATATCAACTGGAGTTTTGAAGTATCTCCCGTCTCTGTTTTTATGTAACTTCATACACTCAAACCAGATGTGTATGGTACCCACAACAAATCTTTCATTTATTTTTATTTGCAAGGCAAAGTTTAGAACTAAGCATTGGTTGCAGACCTAATAAAAGAATAGCTACACACACATTGCATATTTTCCATGACATCTGACATGCAGTCATGAGTAAAAAATACAAAGGGAACTAGACATTACACACACACACACACACACTTTTCTAAAGACAGAGGTTGCTAGAAGGCAAGTTGTATAGAAGACAAACAAAGACTGATTGGAGCAGGGGGACTGGCTCCTCAGTCTCCCACCTCCCCCGTTAATACCCTAGTTGCCAAACTTCAGAGTCATTCTCATTTTCCCTGGCCTAGTGATGTATTTAGCCACAGTGGAACAGCTTCAATAGGAGAGATAGAGGGCACCCTGCCTCAGAATATCCCATAGTTCAGTGGTTAGAACACTCTCCTGAGAGGTGGGACATCCATGTTCAAATCCTTTCTCCTCCGCTGAGAGGGTGGAATTAAAGTTGGGTCTCCTGAATACATCCTCGGTGAGTGCTGTAATCACTAGGCTAAAAATTATAAGGTGGGCGCCTCCTTCAGCTATTTTGTGGGGAGTGAGGCGGGTGCCTAACACATTCTCAACAGAGTTGAATTAGATGTCTAAGCCAAGTGACTCCAGGAGGGGGTTCCCGGTTGCAGATAAAGGGCAGAGAAAGACTGTTCCCTGCACACCTGGTCTTGGGTGCCTAGCTCCTTTGGAGGGGTGGGGTTTAGCATGCACCCATCTCATCGGAATCTCCCATTGGCTGCCTTGAGCAGCTCCCTGCCTACTCTGCTGGCTTTTGTGGATCATATTATACAGTGTCTATTCCTCCCCATTCATTGTATAGAGAGCCTAGCCTAACTAAGCCTCATGGATCACAGTGTGGTGCCAGTGATTCTTCTATGCACCTAAAAGTTAAGCATTGTGAAGTTCAGTGTCACTTTGCCTAAATCTCATTTGTGTATCTCGGCCCAAGTCACTATCCTTTCCACATTCAAATTCCGCTGAAACACTCATCTCTGCTGTGAAGCCTACAAGAATTGAGCTATGATTTGTATATGTATATATATATATATATATATATACACACACACATATACACAGTTACAATTGGTCATTAAGTGTACAGGAACTGATGATAATTTCACACAATCTTTATGAAACCCTGACTTTCCCCAACCTTATAGTATATTCCTCCCCTCTTTGTTGTCCCACATCTACATTCTAGAATGCAAGCTCTTTGGGGTGTGGGGCATGTGTTTGTACTATGCCTAACATTATTTTACATGTCCCATTCAGTTACCATCACCTAAATACTAGGTGTCACAACTGATGCAAAACAAAACACTCTCTGGTGAAGGCTAAGTCCAATAAAAGAGATTTCTTACCCTGTCATTTTTAATATTCTGGCTGAATTACCAATTTGGCTAGTCACAATGTTTCCAGGGATAATTAATCTGGCTCTGCCCTTTTATTCACTTTTGAAATGCAAAGAAAGCACATCCTCTGATATACTGACTAAGGCCCCCTAAATGCAGCAGCCCAATGCTCCTGAAAAACCAAGCAATAATAAGAGCATGTACACATGAAATGAGGGGAAATGTTCTGGTAAGGACGCAGATCTGGCTTTCAAGCTTATGAACAGACAGAAACAAATGGATTTAATAGCTATGAAAAATAACTTCACAATGTCTCCATAAGTTATCCTGTCATCTTGAGAACTGTAATTTTGAATGTGAGTTTTCAGCTTTTAGAATAGTTTAATAAGATTGCAGTTTTGTCTTTGTCAAGCACCAGGTGGCCGGCTGATACAGAATGAAGTAGGGGCTGTCTAGCATGGAAACCAGCATGATTAGAACAGGAACAAGGGCTAGCTGGAGCAGGAACTGTGAGATGAAGCTACTGGCAAAGAGAGAGCTTCCAGCCAGGTAGTAATGTGGAGTAGATTGGACAGGCTGCTTCTTTTAAGAGCCAGGATCACCTGGATGGGTCTTTGCCTGTGGATTGGTTGAACCCTGGTTGAATGGCATAGGACCTATTACAAGACCTGCAGGTAATTGCCTTTGATGACTCATCATACTCTCTGGCTCAAGGATGATTCATCCTGTTTAAGCAGGCTGGGGCTCAGAGGTAACTCAGGAATCGGTAGGCTCAGATTCCGAAGGATCACAATTTACTCACCTGCCATCCTCTTTTAAATCTCTCTATAAAACATACCTTTGCCATGGTGTCTACAAACAAATAATGTAAGGATAAACCATCTCAAGACTCTGTACTTTCATGGAAAACATTTGTTACAATATATTTTGCCTATACCATTGTATAAAGGAGGGGTCAAATTCTGAAATCTTTACGTAGGAAAACTCCCAATGGGGACTTCAGGACTTGGCCCTTTGTTTAATTAATTTCAAAATTGCATCACATTGTTGACTCATTCAATTTGTGATCTACTATAAACTCCCACATCCCTTTCAGCAGTACTGCTGCCTTAGCCAGTTATTCCCCATTTTGTAGATTTGCATTTGATTTTTATCTTCCAGAGTGTAGTACTTCATAATTGCCTTTATTGAACTTCATCTTGTTGAATTCAGATCAGTTTTCCAATTTGTCAAGATTATTTTAAATTCTAACGCTATCCTCCAAAGTACTAGCAACCACTCTCAGCTTGGCCTCATCTGCAAATTTAGAAGTGGACTCTCCACTCTTACCATTATCTAAGTCATTAATGAAAATATAGACTAGTACCAGACCAAGGACTGACCTCTGTGGGACCTCACTAGATATGTCAGCAAACCATTGACAACTCTTTGAGTACAGTTTTCCAATCAGTTTAGCACACACCTTAAAGTTATTTCATCTAGACTACATTTCCCTAGTTCGTGTATAAAAATGTGCCATGGGAATGCATCAAAAGCCTTACTAAAAATCAAGATATATCATGGCTACAGCTTCCCCCCATTATCCTCTAGGTACTTACAAACTGATTGTTTAATAATTAGTTCTAGTATCTTTCCAGGTATCAAAGTTAGGCTTTATTCCCCAGGTCCTCTTTGTTCCCCTTTTTAAAGACAGGTACTCCATTTCGATGTAAATGCAGTGCAGTCAATGGACCCTCTCAACAGGATAAAAGATACAAAAATGTTCCAAGCCTGCGTAGGGTTATTATTGTGTGCAGAGACAAAGTACAGGCATTACCTTCCCTCCACACCCAAGCAAACGCTGAAAGACACTGAGTATTGATTTTTGCCCTTATCAAAAGTCATTTCTTTCAAATTGCAGCATCCACCCACATGGAGCAAGTATTAGAGAGCTCATTTTCAAATCAAGAAAAGTGAAATGAGTTGAAAAAAGATCTAGTATTAAAATAAATGTTGCTATGATTTCTGTATATGCTGAAAGATTTTTTTAAACTTAAAGCTTTCAAAAGTTGTTAAAAAGAGGAAAAATCTACACCTGTTTACATTCTGTAAGTACCATAGCCTGGAAGAATGTCCCTTGCTGGATCATTTAATAATGTGTCAATTGATTCCTTATTCAGTCCATCTTGCTGTAGGGCTCAGTTACTAAGTGATGGTGTGATAATTGTAAAGAGGATTAAACTACCAGTTGGCAGGAGGTATTCTCAGAAACAGAGAAGAGAATGAGTGAATGAATTCATTCTGGAGAGGTGTTGAAGAAACCTGAGCTTTTGAAACAGGCCTTTTAAAATCTTCTCATTTGGAAAAAGAAACCTTAATTATCTTGCTCTGATGTTGACCTGATGTTTTTTAACTGAACTGTGAACCTTTTTGAGATTATTCTCTATGGAAATTTAATCCAAAACCAAACTAAAATGT